GCAGGAAGGTGGGTTTAAACTGGTAACAGAACTTTCCATCCCCTGAATTTGTCCTATCTAAAAATGTGAATCCCCCGAGGTATAAGTTGGTATAATTGGATTAATAAAGGTGAATAGGTAAGCTATTACTAGAAATAGTCAATAGGCAGTATTAATTCTATATATAGAAGACATCATAATGTAAAATCATTTCAATTGAATATGTTTTCATATATAGAAGATACTTGATGTCATATTTAGATATTATGTATCAATAAAAATTCGTATCAATGCATGTTCACTTTAAAAAAAAATAAAAATAAAAATAAAAATACATATTATTAATATATAAGTCCTTATTGAAATAGAAATTGTATTTATAAAAAAACTTTTTCCTAATTGTATCTGTTTTGCTTAAAATTTTCATATATAATAATTTCAGTTAAAGAAAAATGGTTTATACTCTTTATTGCAAGTAAGTATTAATTCAAGAACTCAAGAACATTAAAGACAACTGATGCAGTGAAATGAAACCTTTGATTAAAGTCTATTCAAGTTTGGAAGTCTTATTTATCCTTTGGTTGCATGGGAAAAGGCTTATGGCAGTACACTTTTATTTTTTGATTTTTTTGCAACTCAAACCCTTTTATTATTATAAAAATCTATCCTCATCAATATCATCATACTTGTTAAATTCATAAACACTTTTCAAAAAACATATTTAAATAAAATTATAGGATCTAATGTTTGTTTCAATATAATCTTTACACATTTCTCTATCCTGATATCACTTACTGTGCCACTTAAAAAAATTCACAATCTTTTTCAGTCTCAAAAATTAAAATCAATTTATCCCCTTCAATTGATCGATGCCTGATAACCATCCAATCAAAATTTATCACATCACTTAAACCAAAATAATAAAACCAGTTTAAACCTGTTTATTAGTCCAACAATAATAACAACAATTGGCTTAAACTGGTTTACCAATTCAACAATAACAATAATAATAATAATTATAATAATAAACAACTTTAAATATATTTTACTATTTATAATAACAAAAGTTATATTAATAAGTGAAAAAGAACTGGAGAGTTGGGACAATAAGCCTGGCCAGATTCTCTTGAAAATATAACTTTTATTTTTACAGATTTTATAATTTACTTGATTTAGTTTTAGTTTTAGTTAGTTTTATTTTTTTCTTTAAATTTTCTAAATATAAAAGCTTTTTTTCTGGATAGGAAAACATAGCCACTATTCAGCCTATACTTAACAATAGTATTGTTTAAAATTCTTTTTTTTTTTTTTTTTTTTTTTTTTTTTTAATTGGTTAAGGGCATTAGATGCGAAGTTTTTATTTGATAATATCACAACTATTACATCAAACATCTTTACAAGCTAGACTATTTCTATCCTAGATGTAAATTAATGTTACCTAGATAATACTGTTTCCAATACTACTGGTTTTCCCTTAAGCCAATCCGACTACCCTGGTTAACCAACTAGTTTAAAATTCTTTTTTTGTACTAGTTAGATATAATATGTATAGGCAAGCTAGCATTTAATTTATTGCAAGTTGTACATAAAAAATATTGTTTCTTTTTAAAATATATATCACAGAGTATACAAATAAATAAAGAGATAATGTTTTTCTACTCAAAAAAAAAATAATAAGTTCTTATTGGTTCTTTCAAAAGGCTTATAAACTATAAATATAAAATAATAAATAAAAAATAATATAATAAATATTACATACAAAACCTACTTAATTATAGCTTAGTGAGCTAAGGCAGGGTAGAGCTAACCTATAAACCATGGTTCAATTCTAACTAGAAACAATTCACATATCCTAAAAATTAAGACTTTGTGTCACTGCCCCTGTAATTCATAATAGAGAGCTATTTGGATTGTTCCAATAATCAAGTAGCCTTATGGATAAAGATGAGTCTCTAAAGTATTTAGCATATAAAATTTACATCCCTTTATATCCATATCCCCTAGAGGACATAATTCTTAGCTCTTTATTTCAATAGGAACATAATTTCAGAAATGATTTGTATAGATACTTAAAACTATAAAGAACCTTTGTAGGTAGTTTTTTTTTATTACTTAATATAGAAATGAAAATTTTTAATAATAAGAGACATTTGAATTATGTTCTCACAAATAATTTAGGGACCTATCTTTACAAGGGGGCCAACACTAAACCATGAAAAACACTTCCAATGTATATGACTTGGAATATAGTTAATGATAACAAAAAGGCATTCAGCATTTCACTCTTTGTGTAGATTATGTCAAATATAATATTTACTTCCTTGCTGAAATTAAGTAAATATAGACTTGTCGCTTCAGACTACTTTTTTAAAATCCTGAATGGTCCAGTCTATACATGTGATAGAAATAGGTAAATCCTTAATGCAATTGATGCAATTATTTGATGCAATTAATTAAGACACTATTAAAACATATAAAATAATTGAGTCAGACACAATTATTTTTGAGGATTTTGACAATTAAGTCAACAGCAAAATAATTTACATCACATGTATAGTCCAGTCTTTATGTACAAAATATTAAATAAGTCAATCTTCAATATTTTTTCTGAAAGAAAAGGCTTGAGATAGATAATACAGCTTCTTAATTGTTCTTTATATAGAATTCAACAAATGATTTTTTCAGATATCTTGATTTCTGTTTTAGCTATAAAAAGATTGGTTAGTTTTGCAGCAGTAACATGTCTGTTATCCTTTTTGCCAATAACAAGTTTTTTGAGAGTAATATGAGCATGCTTATTAAGGAGTCGTGATCATTCTGATCATTCTGATCATCATATTCGCAATTCTATGGATCCAGTTTCAATAAAATGCTTTATAACGTTACTTACTATACTTTTTTTGCATCTGACATTGGTTGTGATATTTCAATAAGTATCTTTTTTTTTATAACCATAAATTATGGCTACTTTTTGTTCAGAAGTTAATTCTTTATTAGCAGGTATTAGTGGTTATGTGAAAATTGAAGTGAAATTTTTTAAGTAAATAATAAAAAAAAAATTATTATATAATAATACATTTTTATAAATTGAATACATTACATACAGTATATATATTGAGTATATTTTTTATTAAAAAAGTTTAATTAGTTTTTAAATTAAATTTTATTTTAAAAAAAAGTTGTCTATAAACTTTTGTTCACCCTCTGTATATTATAATAAAATTTTATTTTTATTTTCTAGGTAAACAAAATAAAATTTCATAATTAATAATAGATGATTAACTATTTTATTCGATTGAAATATTAAATGGACAGTATACGTATTTATTAGAGTATTGTAGGTTATGACTTTCTATCTAGTTTAGCGACCATACATTAGTATTCTCAACAATTGGGGCGCAGGTATAAATAGTCACGATCTTATTTTAATAATGCATGGAACAAAGTTTATTTGAAGCTTCATAATACAGGTATATGCATCCATTCTTATATTATATTTGGTTGTCTATATAGTCATTGCATCATCTATACTACTTCGTCTTATAACTGTATTATCTAGAAGTACTGTGCTTAGGGTATAAGAAAATCTAGCAAGCTGGAAATCAGGTTTACAGGCTAATAGAGAATTAATTTTTCGCTATCTAGTAACCGATCGATTAATAAACATGATCATATAATCATATACTGTATTAATTGATAATCTATGCTTTTCGCGATAATACAGTAAGTTGCTAGAGTAGGGATTGAAGTCGATCGGCTAACGGTTGACTGACTGAGTTATTGACTAAGCCGTCAACTGAGTCGACTTAGTCATTCAGGGGTATGCAGTACGCATATGATTTTTAATTGGATAAAAAAAAATACATGCTTTCATCTCGTAGATAACATCGTTTTTTCGTTATCTCTTTCTGAAAAACTGTAGAAATAACATTTTTTTAAAAATTTTTACCTCTTTTTATATAATACAAATTCATTTTTTTATGAAATTTTCGAAGTAATGAAATGCAAATTTGTTTTCCCTTTAATTTATAAGTATTGTTGTCTTGCATGGCGATTCGGTCGCTAACCCGGAACTACAGTTTATTACATGTCTGGTGTTTACTAGAATATAGGTAAGGCTTTAACTCTCACAGATATGGTTTTAGACTTGACAAAATGATAACTTGTAGTCTCTTATTCCACAGGTAATACAAGACGAAACAACCTAGCTACAGTTTTTTTAGTGGCATACAAATTAATGTTTGTCTTTATTGTCTTTAAGAGAAATTATAGGTTCTTTATTATTACAAGTCACAGAAAATCAAAATACAAGTAAGAGTTTATTACAGATTTATTTTTAAAATAACCAGATTTATTCTAATATACGTTATTTTTTTATATGTAGCGCATTGCACAACACGGTTCATATTTTCACTTATAACTATAAATAAAGAAAAAATATATATATGCGTATATCTAATTTTGTTTTGAAAATACATCTAAATAATTATTTTCCTTTAAGAATAATAAATCGTGAACGGTGTTAGGATTTAATCTATTTCTATTATCAGTAATCATGTTACCTGCATCAGAGAAAAGTCTTTCAGATGGAACGGATGTAGCAGGTATAGATAAAAATTTACGTGCTTGTCTATATAATAAATGCTTGTCTATATAATAAAGGGAATGTAGTTTTTTTTTCACGCCACCATTGTAAAGGATCATGAAGGTGATAATTAGGATGATTTAAAGGAACTACGGAAATAATAGGAAGTTGTAGATAAAGAGAAGATATGTTGTTATTAAAAAAATCTATAAACATTGAAGAATTATTAGTATTAGTTAAAGAAGGAATATTTTGCGATAAAATAGAATTTGTTGAAATTTCTGATAATTCGATATATTTTTTTAAATTTTGTTTGGTATCTTCTATCTGATTTGGTGTTAAAAATTTTAAAAATTTAAATCTAGGATCTAAAAAACTTGCGATACAACCTATTTTATCGGGAATATTCCAACGTTTATGCAATGAAGTTAAAATTTCATTGCATACTATAATAATTTGGGGATTTGTAATTCTATATACTATAGTTTTTAAATATTCTCGTAAACAGTGCAAAGTAGGGTACCATAATGAAAGAGTTGGATAAATGCTACCAGATGTGATATTAGTTGCATCAATGAAAGGTTGTGATAATAAAATTAATTCTTCTAGTGCTATCCAATCTTCCGAATTAAGTAATAATTTTTTTAAATTATTACCGTCATTACAGGAAGTGCGTTACGAAAATAAATTAATCTTTCTAATAAAAAAAAAGTACTATTCCAACGTGTATCGGTATCAGACGTAATTGGATCCAAAACATTAATTTCTCGCGTAAATAAGTCTATCATTAAATAAATAATAAATTAAATAAGTAAGTAAATAAATAAATAAATAAATAAATACATTTTTACCTGAATTATTTAATTCTCGAAAAGTTGTTTTTAACAAATCACGATATTTATCATGATTTGATATAAAATTATTTAATTTTTTAGCCGCATCGATTAAAGTTTTAATATTTTTTAATTTTTTAGCCGCATCGATTAAAGTTTTAATATTTTTTAATCCATCTTTAATCGCAAGTTGCATAGTTGCCTTTATCATTGAAGAATCATTATCCGTTGTACCTCCAAATAATTTTGCTGTAATATTCCATTTTTGAAATTCCTTACGTAAATAATCTTCGATATTGTCGCCCGTATGTGGATATAAAAAATTTGCGATCGTAAGTAGTGCTTGTTTAATTTCGAAATCTGAAGTTATCCAATGTATTGTAACTCCAATATAAGATATATGATGTTGTGTCCATAAATCAGTAGTGAAAAAAAATGTTTCCATAGAATCTGCCATTAATTTATCTAATTTTTTTTCTCCAATACTGACAGCTTCGCTCATTTTTTTGTATAAACTATTCTTGCACGGAACAGAATATTGTGGTACAGCTTCGTAAAATAATTCTTGAAATTTAGAATTATTTACTACATGAAATGCTTGCATGTCGTCTATTAACCAGGCTAATAAACAGTTTGTGATTCGCTCCCTCTTATATGGATCAAGAAAAAAATTATCATCTTGTTTTGAAACTATTTCTGTTTCAATATCTTCTTTTCCTTCAATAATTCGATGTTTCATTCTCAAATGACCAGCAATACTAGTTGTGCTTGTTTTTTTTTGACAAAACCATTCACATTGATGTTTTACACCATCTTTTTCGACCAGAACTTGACAACGGCGAGTTTTTTTTTGAATATATGACCAGACCCAACTTTCGGCTTCTCGTTTAGCAGGAATAACTTGAATATGTGGTATAATAGAGGATGTTGAATCCAAATTATTATATGTTGTTTCAGTTTTATCTTTGGAAGAATTATTCATAATAACGACTAATTCGATAATTTTTGAATACGTACTGTACGTTTGCACTTTGAAATTTATTAGAGTATATCTTAACAATGAGCGAATTATCCAATTAACATATGAATAAATTGAACCAATTATATATCGACTAAGTCGACTCAGTTGACCCCTGCATGACTTGATCGACTGAGTTGACTGACTTAATTCGGCTCAAATCACTATGCTAGAGACACGAATCCTTAAAATGCACTTGATTCGGTTACACAGCTACATTGTTATACAGTAGATAGTAAAAATAGTAACTTAATGACGTTAAAAGAGAAAAAACAATATGACAGTACAGTAAATAGTGGAATAGTGATATAGAATAAAGAAGATAATTGAGGATTTAGAAAGTTGTAAAGATATTCTAGGGAAAATAGGATATTAGCAAGTGAAATGGACAGTCATACCGTAACACGCGTCAAGAGTTAAATAAAGTCTTACTCTATTCAGGTTAGCGACAAACATGTCAATGAGGGCAATATTACAAATAGTTTTATCTTATGCCAACGAAATTTATAAGTATTATTTAATAAGTGATCTGTTATTCTAAAATATAAATACATAACTAAGTATCTGAGCTTTAGAAAAATAATGTAGCGGCTTTCAAAAAGGTTTAAATTTTTGTTTAATTAATAATTATATTTTCATCAAGTTTAAAAAATTTAATTTTTAATTTTTTCGTTTTTTAAAATCAATCAATCAATTAATTAATTAATAATCATGTTATTATTAAGTTTAAAATTTTTTTAAAGTCTTGATTTTAATTAAAATATATGGCATTATTATATTTTTAAAGTTAAAATTAATCATTAGAATTTAAAATAATTATGTTTCTTTATAAATCAAATTTTATATTATCCTTATAAAATAAATTTAACTATGTTATTTCATTATAATTAAAAAAATTATATAAGAGAAAAAAAACTTTTTTTTTACAGTATATTATTTTTTTAAAAAAATTTTTTTAGTAATTTTTTAAAAATTAAAAAAATCAAAGCTTTTTTTTTTTACTTTTATTGTCAAATCTTGTTTCATATTACCTTTATTTTTTTTTAAATATTTTAAGAATATATAAAAAAAAAAAGTATTAATTAATTAGAATAAAATCTTTGATTAAGAAATAACAAGTTTAAAAATTTTGTATTTTTTTTAATTGTATAAGAAAAAATCTAAAACAATTAATTTTTTTAATATTTTTTTTAAATTTTTTCTATTGTATATTTATTACTTTTTGTTAAATTCTTTATTTAACTATATATCTTTATTCTTTAATAATTAAAAAAAATTTTTTTACAAAAAAAAAACAAAAATTAGTTTGCTCTTGATAATTAATTAATAATAATAATATTTTATTTTATTTTATCAAATTCTTTAAATTTTTAAAAAATATTTATTCATTTTTATTAAAAATTGATATATTTTTTTATTGTAAACAAGCATTAAATGTGAAACTTTTATTAAATAAAAGTTTATAGTTATTTTTTTTTTTTTTTTTTAAGATGAAAGATACTAGACGTACTGGTTTTTATTGAGTTATTTATATCCAACAAATTATTATTACATCCAAGGTCCATTTAAATTAACCTGTTCCTATCACCTATTTTAATCCAACTATACCAACTTACCACTATGGAAGTGGGGCCCGCACGTTGAGTGGGACAAATTCAGGGGGTGGAAAATCCTGTCACCAGTTTTAAACCCAACTTTCCTGCTAAGTCCAGATTCGGCAACCTTATGGCTGCTCGCTGTCAAAGGGCATGTACCTTTCTAGGTTGATTAGAACACCCGGATAACCCGAATACTTTTCGCCTAGTTCCTCAGAGAAGGTACTTTACTCCTTGTCACCACCTGCGGCTTCAGATTTCCGGCAAAGGTCCTCTTCTTTTAAGCAAGCGCCGGATTGGAATAGCCCTAGGCTAGAGTGTTCTTTGTGCTACGGAGTCTGCCGTGCCAGGGGGGTTGTGGGCTTTTATCGGAGTTAGACCAGAAGCCTTTCCTCGTGCAACCTTTCCTGCTTCGACCTGTTTTCAGCCTGCGATCGTCAGAAAGACCAGAGGTCCCATCTTCATGCAGCCTAACTGAATTTGGCTAGATCCGGATGTCTGGGTACGACATTTGTGGCAATCCGATAAACCCACAAATGAAGGTGATTTTTATGTGTTTTGTCCCCTGTGGGTATTGAACTAGGAACATGCATTTGGAGATCAGAAAGCACTACCCACTGTGCTATTGACCCACTGATTATAATTAATATTCTTATAAATATGTTATTTACTATATACTGTATAATAAGAATATATAGAAATAAATAGAATTTTTATAAATAGAATTTTTATAAATAATATATTATAAACAATATTTATACTTATATAGTAATAATATAAATAAATCTAAAATTAAAAAATTTCTAACTAAATAAAGTTAACAAGAATTAAATTTAAAACAATAAATAAAAATAAATTATAAAATACCGTATATGACCGAAAATAAGCAACCCCCGAAAATAAGAAACATTTGTTTTTAGTCCCAAAACACAATAAATCAA